TTATTGTTATTATTATTATTATTATTATTATTATTTCCAATCACCAAATAGCAGATGAAAACGTGATTCTATCTGTTAGCAAACTGGACTTACCTCTTTCTTTTAATTTAATCTCACAGCTACCATAATTTTACCGCTAAATACAATCTTACAAATGAGGAATGTCGAGGAACACTGGTAATAGCTAGTCACACAAGGCAATGCAAACTCATTTTTCGAGTGCAGTTTATCACTCAGGGAGGATTGTGCGTAATAATAATAACCAAATGCAAGAAAATGGAGAAATCAAAATGCTGTTACAATATAGCAGGTCAGTCTAGTTATCACAACTATTTCAATAGAAGTTGTAAGTGGAGGTCGTAAGTGCATGTAAAATTTGGTAAAATCCAATTTTGTCGCAATATTGTGCTTGTTGCATTGAAATCGCCCATAGTGCATTTAGGGCTTGGAATGCAAAATGCAACAGAGTCTTCACCAACCTTTTTACTGGGTTGCCTGTGGCAGCCTTTTTTTTTCTTGTAGTCTCCTTCTCGCGAAATGTGCATTCTTGCGCAAGGGTACCCATATATGAATTTGAATGACGTGTTCATAGATAAATGGCTCATGAATGGCTAATGAAAATATGGCTTTCAGATTTTAGATAATAAGGTATATACATTATTAGCATATACCAACTTGTGTACTTCCTAAGAACGCGCGCGCTCATTGGTTAATTGGAGGTGAATATTGTACGATATTCCACCTCTGGATCTCGGAATATTGAGTCGGCAATAAAATGGCATCTGCCGGCAATCGTTTTGCTACCATTTCCGATGAGGAAATTGAAAAAATGAAAGTAAATGCCATTCCTATCAATACTAAAAAGGCAACGAAGTATGGCCCAAAAGGTTTGCTAAAAGTTTTCCTAAAGGTTTTGCGTGAATTTGTCAAGCAAACTAAAAGTTTCTGTTTGTTTGTTTTTATTGAATTATTGTATATAAAAATAAGTTACTCTGTACACAAGTTGGTATATGCTAAAACGATTATTCGCCTCAGGCTCAGTGAATATGTAGAATATTCACTTCGCCTTCGGCGAATAATTGCTAAATATATCGTTAAATTTTACACAGTAATCATAGCTAGTAACTTTGGCCGTAAATACTTTTCGCTAAGTATTGAATCCTTTTACTAAACGAGTTTCACGGTTCGACTTCACTGGTTTGGATATTTGAAAAGACAATATTTAAAGAATATAATCAATTGATTTGTTTGTTTGTTTGTTTTCAATATCGACTATCCTTTTTTCTCTCTAGATTTATGTATAGTCCCAACAAGCCATAATAAAGAAACCATACTACTGAAGTGCAATTACAGCCAAAGCAATTTAAAAGCACAGTTGGACTACGACTTATCCAAGGATGTAGAAGATTACATCAATCAGTCGATCATCAGTCTTGTAGTTTGCATGCTAATGGTCATTGGAGTTTTCTTAACAGTCATGACTTATAACCTGTGGTCCTCCCGTAAGAGATATCAAGACTCACTCAAATCGTCAGAAAAAGTCGAACAAAAGTCAAATTAAATTTTAATCAGTGAATTTTGTTATTAGTTTATCTATAACGAGCTAGATGTACTTACTAGTTATCGATCAAGAAGATTTTTTTTTTTCTTTTTGGCCTCCGTCAATCAGAATCATCTTCAACCGATGTGACCACCAGTACTATCAAATGGCAGTTATCATTCCTGTTCTTTTACTTTTTTATTTTTCAAACCAAACTTTCGTTTCATTTGATTTTAAAGTAAACTGTATAACAAGGAAGTAATACAAACATTTACACTCAATAGAATCATGGTCGGGTTCAGAAACAGAGCATAGAAGCTGAGACCGAAATGGTAGATGGGAAGTACGTTAATTAGATGCATGCTGTGACCGGCGACCCGTGGCATCATCCACTGTTTTTAATACGCGTTTTGCATTCTAAACCGACTGCACATGGCACAAATGAATAAATTATAATATGACAATGTCATTTCCCATGTGCCATTTCAGTCTCAGCTTCTATGTTGTATGTTTCTGAACCCGATAACGATTCTTCAATTTAGTGTATACTCAAAGGCAACATAGCTAAGGAGTTGAAACCTGCCTTGTTGCATGGAGGGAAAATAGGAAGGGAAAAAAGATGCTATAATAATATGTTCATCATGATGATATAATTTCTTTATAGTTGGTAAACAAATTCAGCGTATAATTTCTAGTTATAACTCTGGGCCACTTTTACTCTCTCACACTACCACTACACTCGCTTGAAAACGTCAACGATAGCCAATCATCGCGCGCATTTAAACTGAGTCATTGGATTCGAATATGAATATACTTTAAACAAAATTTCGTGATTATAAGCATGCAGGATGGATTAATGAAACTAGTGGAGATTCAATCTACCATAAACATGAAATAAATAATGCTAAAAGCTGAAAGATTACACTGATATGCTGGCCTCATGGGTAGATTGGTGTTTTTAATATCTGTTGTCGAAGTGTTGTTAATAAATGAGGATGGACATAAAATATACCGTAAAGCAAATGACCTCGAAAGTGTTCAAATTCGTGTTAAAAAGTAGCCGTAGTAGTCTCACCTTTAATGAAACTGCCCTCGCGTATCAAGAAATAATTAAAAACTATGGTATTCAAGTTTTACATTTAAAAAAATGGCAACGTTTATTTTCAATTTTCATCTAGAAAGATTTAATAACTGATAAGTAAGTTTGCTGATCAAATTCACGAGACCAGTTCATGAAACAAATTCTTTGTTCCACAGCTTGTAGTTTGACCCCACAATTATCATCCGTCCACAATTTAAAGCTAAAGCACTTGATCTATTCCTTTCTTTCCGTGTTTCTCTTTAAAACTACTCGACAACTGAAATACTATGAAAACAAGATCGGGGTGCTGTCTGAATGGAGTTGTATGGTAGATGGATTCCGAGATAACGGCCAGTAAGTCTGCCTTGAGCATCTTATCTTTGGTACTCAATTCTCTCAAGAGAGGAAAAAAAATTGGTTCCCTTAATTCTGTCGATAATCATTCTAAAAGTTTCTTTTCCGAACTCATTGCAGTAAGTTTGTTATTTTCAGATAACTTTACTTCCCCTCGATTTTAAGACTCGTAATTTTGTAGTAAACATCTAAAACCACTTTTGAATGATTTTGTATAATTGATTAAAGTAATTAACGCAATTTGACGTAAATGATCAACTGCAGCATGCATTATCTGCATGTTTGTGAACATATGCTCTCTTGCCGCAGAATACCACCAGGCTGGTTATATTCAATTATATTTCTTAAATTCTTAATTTCACATCAGTACGTTGCAAAGAAGTAATGTATAGCGAAGTATTATGAACATGAAACGTTTTTCCAAGCTTGATAATGAATGATAGAAAATGAGCTTAAGAATATCGAGGTCCCGACTGTCGATGATGTATGTTTTAGCCAATGAAAACTTCATTTCACGAGCCAACCACAAGACATCTTGGTAAGATGTACAGGGGTTGTTCTAGATCAGATAGAAAACGTTGACCACATCATTATCGTTCGAAGGCTTACAATGGAATGCGAAATGTAATACAAAGGAATGCAATACAAATGCCAAAAACTTTGCACAAGAGCTTCCTGACACTTGCTCATTTCATCAAGGAACTTGTGGATTAGGGTTGACTCTTTTTTTAAGAGTATAGAGTGGAACAGATGGACTAGCTTAGTATTTTGCACAGATGCTTAAATCAGTGTATGAAACAGTACAAACCATAATATATTTACATTTATTTAGATATGACCTCAAACAGACCTCAAGTAACTTGACGATCCAATGAAAGATGGCATCTTTCCCTTTTGGCCAAACCGTTGACACTTCGTGAAATCATACTGATTACCTCAGTAGCGCTTAGCATATTTAAAGGAGAAAGGCTCAACTTTATTTTCCTGAAGCACAACATTATGTAGAGGTCAGGAGAAAATTTGCGAGTCTGTCAATTTGAATTTGACTTTCTATGAACTCACATTGACGTTTAAAGAATCGACTTCAAAATGGTAAATTTCCTATCGAAGATATCTTTTTTGAGTTATTTCAGTTTCTTTATTTTGTTATCATGGGGAAAACTGATTTTGAGAAATCTTAAAAGCTACAAGAACCCCTCCTACACGACTTATGAACCTTGGAATCTTCAGGGTCAGTTGAATTTTGTGTTCAAAACAAGCCAAACGAACGGTTTTCTCGCCTATCAAGACGATGGACAACATGATTTTATCGAAATTTTCCTCTACAATGGAGATATTCGTTTTAAGTCGTTTATAGGAGACTGTATGCAAGAAGTTTATCTCAAAGGAGACTTCAGCAACCTACATTGGCATCGTGTTCGAGTCATAATTGAGCAAAATAACTTTAGTATCTCAGTTGATGATACAACTAGAATGTTACCTTGTAAGCCACAAGTACATATGCAGAACAGGAGAGCTGCTGGAAAGTATTTATACGTAGCAGGTTTCTCTCTAACGACTGGATTGGATTTAAACCTCCTTGCATTCCCTGGGACATTCCACGAAGCAGAAGCCAAAAGGTAAGTTCAATGAATAAATTAATCTTTTGGCAAGCCTGGTAGCTTGAGGATTCTCTCTAAACGGTACAACTGGAAGTGGAGAAATTGCAACAAGATTCCAGATTTCTTTTTTTAATTTTTGGGGGGAGCTTGCAATGGTGCATCGAGCATTCCCAGCACTGAGGATTTTTTTAATAAGTTTTGAATCACTGACCATTATTTTGGCAAGTAATAAAGCGACACATTTCCTTATCCAGTTGACAAACTTAATACGAAAAAAGAAAGTTTACGTCATTTGGCTTTCGATATTCGTTATTTTATGGCATTGCCAAACGACAAGAAGATTTAGTAGAAACTATAAAGACCACAATCTGATTGAGAAATTTCTTATTTTTGTTAAGGTTTGCGAATCCACCAATTATCTTTGACCTTCAGAACTTCAGAACGATATGCTTTATGACAATCATAAGCAACAGTTTTAAGCCCAACAACCTGCTTGAAAAATTTTAGCTCAAAATAGTAAAATATTATCACTATCGCAGCTACTACTTTTATGATATCGAACAAAATCAAATTAGGCCCTGTCCTCACGTATCCGGAAATTTTTGTATCCGCAATTTTTTTTTTTTTTTTTTTTTTTCGGATACGAAAATGTTTGCGCCAACTCGCAGCCTATTCGAATCGTTATCACCGTCCACACGTGTCCGTTTTCGTAGAATTTGCGGATACGGTCACAAAAATTTGAGGACACGTGTGGATGCAACCCGTATTCGTAAAAAGAAATTGGCGGATACAAAAATTTCCGGATACGTGTGGACGGGACCTTAAACAAGTTTTATAAATAGTAAAATTAATGTACATTTATGTGCATTTCTTCAGGGCCTTGGAAAACATTTAAATGCAAAAAAGGCGCCTTTAAAATACAATATTTTTTCTCGACTGAACTTAAGATTGTCACTAGTAAGAGTCAAAACAAAAAGCAAACGTTATCTAAGTTATTTTTTTATTTTGCTATAGCCAGACTAAAAATTCTGGAAAATCGATAGCTTAATTATTCATCGTTTTGACTGATTTATGTTGTGGTTTCTCATCAATAATAAATAAACATTTAATTTGTACAAGTCTTTCTAAGGTTGAAGGTGACGTAAATCATTTGTTCTTCATTGTTTGGGCGGTTCCGCCGCCCCTGTTGTTGCAGGAAAACATTGGCTATATCATAAAGTAGATAGGAATTTGGAGGTGACCGTAAGGACTCTTCGGTGGCATTTTTAATTAATTTTATCAAATTGGAGTTGAAAACCGAAGGAATGCCACTTAACGCAATTGGTCGTCGGACTCCAAGAGGACCAGAGAACTTTGGTTAAACAGGTCTTAATAAATCATAAGTTTTCTGTCTAAGACCTACTTGATAACTACAATGTTCATGATATCACAAGAAAACATATATATAGGAGCAGGTGTAGCTCTGTTGGTTAGTGTGCGGCCTTCAGAGCTAGAGGTCCATAGTTCCATTCTCAGGAACTTCCACGTCTGCTCGACTTCTCTCTGTTCTGTGTAGCTTTAATTAGCTTTTTAAAAATACCCGTAATAAGGAGCAATGCTAGTAAGAGGTGGGTAGAGGGCGCACCTTCGAGCGCATTAGACATCAGCYCCTGGTTCGGGAGATTTGGGCAACCACTCCCCGCGTTATCGAAGTAAAAAAAATAGCTTTTACCTTTTTTATATGCCGGCCATTAGCCCTTTCGTAATGTGTTTCACAGATTGCTAGGAGTCGATGGCTCCTAGCAATTTGAGCAGACTTTACAACGTAGTTCAAAAACTCTTGAATAATTAATGAGCATTTGAACCAATTGGAGCGACCATACACGTCACGTGCATGGACCTTTAAACCCTTTAAGTCCTCCCCATTAGTATTTTTTAAATAAAGAATACTAATGAAGATGAAACTTTATATAAAGACTCAGTGACCTCACTGCGCATGAAATTGCTGTGCAAAGGACTATCAAAGTATAAAAGTCAATGTTTGCGAAGTATAAGGTTGCTCTACTTAACCTGAAAGGTTTGTGAATCATACTTAAAGTTTTTGAAGCCGTTTAATAAACTCGCAGATCGTGTTTTATTGGGTCTAAAACCGCTCGGACACGCCTCGTGTTTTAGACCTGATAAAACACTCCTACTCGTTCTTAAACACTACATATAAAGGAATTTATTATATGGCAAGGTAATTTCACGCGCTATGATTGGTCAATTTGCGGTCCATAACTTA